GCAAGAGATTCAGGCAGAATCGCAGACGGTGCTTGACAGGCTGACAAAGAAAGATTTCCAGGGATGCTTCCATGCTTGGCAGCGGCGCTGGGATCGTTGTGTTCACTCCCAGGGAAACTACTTCGAGGATGATGGATGAATTTAATACCTGAGGTAAGTGTACGGGTTTTATAGGCGCAGTCTGGAAACCTTCCGATCGCACCTCGTATATAATACGTGAGTTTCGTTTGATAAGAATACATCAAATGTTGAATAAGTAACAGAATGACAACAAAGTAAAATCATATGTAGCAACATACATGCAATTTGTTACAGTTGGTAAATTCTATGTTAAATCCTATGGGGAAATGTATCTGAAGGTACGTGGTTCTTCTCAGAACATTGTACAATCATTTCTATATAGACAGAAGCACTATTATAGAAAATGTATTACACTGGACTGGACTCATAATTTTGAACAGATTTTTAAGCGATCCAGACGAGCGGTACCTTCGTGCTGACTCTACTGAACTTGCTGAGGTCCCACCGAGGGATTTTCACCACGCAATAGTCGAGACTGGGTTCAAAGCAGGCAGTGGTCGATCCCGTGACAGAGTTCCTGATATCAGGCAGGGGAATTCCAAGCGCCAACTTTGCAGCTACGTATGCCAAAGGGTAGCCTGTAGCTTTGCTGGCCAAGGCAGAGCTTCGCGACAGACGGGCATTCACCTGCGACAATTGCGAAGGACAATCTCAACCTCTCGACTGTCGACTTAATTCAAAACATTGTGCAGTATCGTTCACAGGAAATTAGACTTCCGTTATCTCTGACTCACAGTGATTTTCAATATACAGTAGATTCAGGTTAATCAGGCCATCGGGGCAGCCGTTTATTTGGGACAAATCTTAAAGAACAAACCTTTTTAAGTCTTTACTAGGAACTTCGCATAATTGGGGTAGCCGCTCAAATGGGCCAAAGCGTTCTAGTCCCGATGTGTCCCGATTAACCGGGATCCCCTGTATAATTGAACTTTCTTCAGATGGGACTCTGAGAAAATTCTGTTGTAGACTACAACAAACAAATATTAATTCCACTGAACAAAACTTGAGAGCTTAAAATATTAATACTAGAATTATTGTCATGTGACCAATAAAATTTTCATTGCACACACTTTGTCTTAACCAGAAACATTATTCAGAACCGATTTGTGCTACTGGTAATTCAAGATTACGACCATTTTAACACACACAGCTGTTTTTTTCAACGTCTTTTCACAGTGAAGAACTAAGTGTAACATCAAATGCATTTCTCAAGAACTTCCATGCATTTTAGGAAAATATTTTTCAGTTCTGCTGTTACAAGGCAAAAACTACTGAGCCCCAAATTATTTTTATACAAAAAAGTTTTATTTATTTATATACACTCGGATACAAAATATGCATACAAGCAAAACTGTTTACGCTATGAAGGACACTAATGCCAAATGCATTTCGACCTCAAGAGGTCAACATCAGTGGCAAAAAATTAGTTAATTTGTGTAATATAAATCAAAAGATCATGGTTTTTAACAGAGAATAAAGGTAAGTTCTTTACAAAACCATATTTAGTAACATTTCACTGGACGTTGGCAGTTGGCTATTTTGTCCGCTGGTCTGATGGCCGTTGCTGGAATACATAGACCTTCAAAACAGTTTTGTTTGTATGCATATTTTATATTCCGATACACAACACGGAATGCAAGGTTTTAATACGCTTGGATATTATCATCACACAATAAAACTTTGGATTTTTTTTTAAAAAATCATTAGGTGCACAGCCTTTTATGAAAGCGTCATCACAATGAGCAAAATTATGAGCTCCTCCATCTTGGGCTGAGACGCACGGAACACGCTTCCATGTTACAGCGCTTATGCACCTCATCTGTTACATTTATTACACGACGAGAATAATTACCTCGATGATATAGTACTCTTCTGAGTTGGGATTGCAAGCATACTGGATGTTACACTCGCCAACAACGCCAAAATGTTTTATGACATTTATTGCCGTTGTTCGAAGAAGATTGTATTCTCGGTTAGTAAGCGTCTGGCTTGGAGCGACGACAATAGATTCGCCTGTATGAATACCCAGCGGATCAACATTCTCCATGTTGCAGACCTGTAACATATCACACGCAATTCGAACTACAGCGCGATAACTGTTGAAACAAAAAAACAAATTAAATGCTGGAGAATCTGTCAACAAAAGCAAGTGGTGGTAGGTTGCTCGGTTGATCATTTTTGGGCCTGATGGGATATCTACTGCTACGTGATCACTCATCCATGGTATACCATGTACATGTACTTCCATACAACATAACGCAGCTATTATAACCTCAATATAAGATCATATTTGAGATCGCAGCACATGAAATCACATTATATTATTTAATTACGCACAGATAAGTAAAGATTTTAATTTTTAAATGCTTCTTTCTTACAGTCTACTACACAGTCTACATGGACCGGTTAATCAGGGAAGCCATCGAGATCAAACTACATCCCGATAACTTTAACAGGGAAGATGGACTTC